CAAGTGTAGGATTGTTATAAATTGTTTCCATGTACACCTTCTTCATAAGTATGGACTGTATTTCCTTGGGGGCCCATGTCATACCCTCCTTCCCCCACTGCCCCTTTACTCCCACCTTAAAAACTCACCATGATGAGAGTGGAGACCCTAGAGGCAAACAAAGATAACAAGAAAAGTGACAAGTTTTGTTCAGAGATGTGCATGTGTAGGATTGTTATAAATTGTTTCCATGTACACCTTCTTCATAAGTATGGACTGTATTTCCTTGGGGGCCCATGTCATACCCTCCTTCCCCCACTGCCCCTTTACTCCCACCTTAAAAACTCACCATGATGAGAGTGGAGACCCTAGAGGCAAACAAAGATAACAAGAAAAGTGACAAGTTTTGTTCAGAGATGTGCATGCTAGTGAAGTGTTACAATCCTTCTTGTGAAAAGTCCAGTCACTCCATTGTTAATAGTTACTTTTCCAGGCCAGATCTGAAGAAGTCAGGCACATTCACCAGCAGACAGACTCTGTCAACTAAGGAAAAACCTCCGAGGACAAGGGAGGATCTAGGTGAGGATGTGTGGCATCACTCAACGCTTAAACAGAGAAAAGGAGCAAAGAAGAGCTACAGAGATGGAAATGAGAACACAAACCACTGAGCATGTGCTATAAATCAGGCCTGGGCAAAATACGGCCCACAGGTTGCATCCGGCCCACCAAGCCCCTGGATCTGGTCCACTGAGTCAGCGGGAAGCCCTAGGCAAGCACACCTGCTTTCCCTGCTGCCCCATGTGCCATGCAGAAACGTGGCTGTTGGACTTCCTTTCTGTTTCAAAACTAGAGGGGAGCGGGAGAAATTTCAGGAGCCACCCCACCCCCAGTACAATCCCATTGGCCAGAAACCAGCTAATGGGAGCTGCATGTTTGAATAACAAGCAGCCAAGAAGAACCACACCCCCTCTCCTCCGCTCATTTATTCATTGACGCACATGGCCAGGGAAGCAGGCAGGCAGGCTGACTGGCTGGGAAACATTTTTAAGCTCTGCAAGCCTTTGCTCGGCAGACATGCAGGTTGGTTTGGCTCTTGGCTGGTAAGTCTCCTGGCCACAGCCTGCCTCTGGCACCCCAGACCCTCTCTGCCCTCCCAATCCTCTGCCCCTCTCCCTACACTCAACATACCCAAACTCTCTGCCCCCTCTTATACCCATGTGCCCTCCCACATCTGGCACCCCAATCTCCTACCCCAGATCACAATCCTCTTCTACCCTAGGTCACATCCCAAACCCCTGCACTCTAGTCCCTTGCACTAGCTCACAACTGCCTCCTTCATCCAAACTCCCTCCTTTACCCCAGTCCCTTACCCCAAACTCCCTTCTGCATCCAACCTCCATCCCAGACCCTACATCTCCTCCATTAATATCCAATAATTTTGGCCCTTGCTCCCTTTCCGAAATCTTGGAGTGGCCCCCCTCAAAAATTATTGCCCGCCCCTGCTATAAGCTCATGAAGGCCAAAGTGAGATGCTGAAGTGTCTTATCAAGGTGCAGAGCAAACAACCAAAGGCTTCATTGTCAACACATGAAGAATTGTTTTCATAAAAACCATTTCTCCCCACTCATACATCAGCCTCCATGGCTGCACGTGCAAAATTATTTTATCCAGAAACCCTCCCTCTACACCCACACACTCATTTTCACAAACAGGTAATTTTTTCCCCCCAGCACACTCCACTGCCAGTGAAAGCAGCTGTGATTTTTAATAGCTGGCCATTCACACAACTGTGAAGTTTTCCAATGATTCTTTACTATCCTTGTCCCCCCAAGCATCCTGATTAGAAGCCATCAAGAAAGACAAATGTGATGCAAGTTTCCACAAATGTATTTTGTGTGACACAACCCACACCACTCACTCTGGCCCTCTTGGAAGCCTGCAGTCTCCTGTAGATTTCATGGGAATGCCTCTCTCAGGAGGAGTAACTCTCATTCTGGTGTCCTTGCACTGCATTTCAGGGGCCAGCTCAGCACACGGCTCCAGGAAGGTTGCTTCACTCTTCTGAAAGTCCTGTATCCACTCTACTGTGCACCGATGCTCTGTGACTGCCCAATGCAGTACCCATTTGGAGCTGTTCCTGTCACTCACATTATCGCCTGCGTCCAAGTTTTTGTCCTCTGCGATTAATTGCATAAGTAGCTCTGTTGCAATGTGTGCTGTCCTAAGCGCACTGAACACAACATGGGAGAGGAGTTGTGGGACCTGTGATTTCTCACAGCAGCTGCCGGAGTTTGCAGCATAGACTTCATTCAAGGGGCACAAAAGTAAGCTGGAAGCCCAGAGAGAGCTGGAAAGCAGAGGTGGCTGGCAGGAAGTTTTTCACGTTCCCAAAATGCCTAGCGCTACAGAGGGTTGCCAGATGGTTTCAGAAAAAATACCAACAAAAAACATTTGAGGAAAAAGTTAGAGCAAAAAAAAAAAAACACCCCAAAACACCATGGCCCCTTTTAAAAACCACATTATGACGCTATTTGGCCCTAACAAGCTGCCATCTTGCCTCTCTGCACTGAGCCGGACAGCTCCCCGGTAAGCACTAGGGTTTCCAGGCTGCCTCCGTATTGAGCCAGACAGCCCGGGATTTTTGCCTCCTGGCTAGGAAAGAAAAGAATCAGAAAGTACCGGACATTTTAGGTGTCCAGTATTTTCTGAATTTTTTTACCAGAAAGGAGGCAAAAATACTGGACTGTCCAGTTCAATACCGGACACCTGGCACCCCTAGCGCTGTCTTGTGCAGTCCCACAGTGCTTCACCACTGAAAGGGAGGCCAGGCGCTGTGGGATGCTTCCCCACATTGCTTTGCTCTTTCTGTGAACAGAGAGCCAACAAAGTGGCCATGAAATGTCCACCGTGGGTGGCAGAAAAAAACAGGTTTGACAAGTTTTCAATTTTAGCAACTTCTGCCTGGCGCAAGCACATTCGTCACCAAACCTTCCCAGTGTAGACATAGCCCCAGGGCTGGGCT